TGTTTGCTTTACACCTTCAGCTCCCCAGGTGTGATATTGCACTGCATGAGAATGTCTTAAGTTTGCTTTTTAACCTACAGACACCAAAAGGGCAATAGCTCTGGGACTGCATGGATATGCCAGAGAAATCACCTACCTTACTCAGGCTGGAAAACAGAGTGACCACAAGCTGAAAGGCTGTATGGGCTCAACCAGGGCGACTGCAGCAGTGCAGAGGATGGCTGAGCATCTGCACAAGCCTGTGAACAGCTCAGACAACAACGAGGTTTGCCCTTGTTTGGAGCCAAACAACTTTTTGAAGTAATCACAGAATGGCCTGGGTTGCAAAGGAGCACAGTGCTCATCCACTTCCAACCTGTTCCTGCTGTGTGCAGGTCGCCAACCAGCAGCCCAGGCTGCCCAGAGCCACATCCAGCCTGGCCTTGAATGCCTGCAGGGATGGGGCATCCACAGCCTCCTTGGGCAACCTGTTCCATCCAGTGCCTCACCACCCTCTGCCTCCAAAACTTCCTCCTCACATCCAACCCAAACCTCCCCTGTCTCACTTTAAAACCATTCCCCCTTGTCCTGTCACCATCCACCCTCACAAACAGCCATTCCCACTCCTGTTTATCCGCTCCCTTCAAGTAGTGGAAGTCCTCGGTGTGCAAGCATCTTTGGGTATAGCTTTTATATAAGGGCAACAAAGGACATCTACCTGACTGCAGACAAGGATTTCCAAAGGAACATGTGCATTTGCCCACATTAGCTAACCCTGTTGTTGCATTTCTTCACTAGGAAAAGCCTTCTCACTGCACTGCTCGAGTCTGCAGAGTGCTGCTTTATTTGCTCTTAATACAAATACCGCCCCTCAGAAGTCAGGCTGACTTGTGAACAATAGAGGTGAACACGCAGAAAGGAATAAAACAAAGTCAAGTGTATATGTGTAAGCAGTCTAGGTGTAAAGTACAGATTCAGTGTCTCAAAAGCTGGAATGAACTGCATACTTTCAGATATTCAGAGAACAACTGCATAGGGCCCCTCATGCATCAACAAATGCTGGTCTTAAAAATGAGCTGCTTTTCTGGAAGCCAGCAAGATCCCATGCTTGAGAAATCTGAAATACAGAGAAGTGTTCCCAAAAGGAAACAAAGATTTTGGAGAACACAACTGGGAAAATGTAAATCAAACAAAACTTTAGCTCGTCATCTTTCGCCTTAAGAAAGTGAGACATCATCTAAATCTGATAGCAGGAAAGTAAGGCTTTGGTGTTGCTTAGCCTCTGTAACAGCATGTGCAGAAGCAGCAGATCTGTCCTGGCTTCATCTATGTATAATATAGTAACACTCTGCAGTTGGGGCACACGAGGAGAAAGGTAAATACAGCAGAATACAGGTGCCAGGAGATATGAAGAGGGAAGCAGAGCTTGCACACCTGCATGCTTGATGCAATAAATCATGCAAGTTGCAATGTGAAAACATGTATTCATCATTTAATGCTTGAGAAACTAAAACAAGTCTCCCCAGGCAGAGGCATCCAGCAGCAATACAATTAAACCTCAGTCCAACCCTGCAGGTATACAAAAGGCTGCAGGCAGAACTATGCAGTTCATCAGGGCCTGAAGCAAAGAAATCTGTAGCAAACTGCCAAATTTGCTCCGACTGAAGCCTGAAATAATGGGCTAATTGGTTTTACAACCAAAGTTGTAAGAAAACAAACATTAAACACCATCCTCACATCTGCAGGAGTAACAAAACTATTCTGTATATATATCTGATATATATACGTATATATATTCCGATGTGTATATCTGATCCTTCTCAGAGAGTGAGGCTAAGCCTGAATTAAATAACTACAGATTTTGGTCACCCTGTTTATCTCTGGGATTCAATTCCAGGCTGCAGAGAAACAGAGATGTCTTTAGAGAAAACTAAGAGCTATGAGTAGGTCCTCTTCACAGATAAACTAAGTGCAACGTAAGTCACAGCATGACTGCGATTTGACAGCAGTTCAGCAAAAGCTGTCTGCAGTGATAACGAAGGAAAACTGAAAACCAGCAATTGAACAACGACAAAAAAACCAAACCAGTCAGTGTAAATGAATGTGTGAATAAGAAAAACTCATCACCACCTCACACGCTCCTGCTCTCATCCCACAGATGAAGGATAGCCTGGAAATACTTTGCCGACTGCTGTCTGCAGCACGGAGCGTCAGATTACTCACCTGCTGTATCCTGAAAACGAAAAATCCCTTCCAATCTTCATTTTAACAGCTGGTGGCCTTTCTGCTTGCTTAAATATATGTAAGCAGATATTATTCACAAGACAGTGGGCATCTGTGCTTCGCTACGCATGTGCTCAACTGCAGTGCCTGGCTGTGGAAGTCTCGCCAGTTTTCCCCTTGAGCCAGGCTCCCTGTAAAGGCTCATTTCCATTTATATTATTAGGAAGCACTAAGGAGCCTTGTTTAGAGCCATCAGCCTTAAGAAAAAGTTAAAAAAGAACAACTATGCATGCAAGTCGTGGAGGTGAGAAGGAAATGAGGCATAGACATTCATGTGGGGGCAAGGAGGGAATGTGATATTCCCAGAGAACTGTGCTTCATATTCCTACATGTTTTGAAATATTATCCGGCCCAAAAATGTGTTTTGTCTTGCTAATGACTGCGTATCACCTAACAGGGAAATAAAAAAACCTGGCAGCACGAAGGCAAAACCTCCAACAAATACCTAAAGCTGACACTATCTGCTCTTCAAAGCTAATGGACACTAGAAGGGAAGAGCAGAGATGTACACCTTGTGACCCAGAGCCCTCACCTCTCTGCTTATTTGAGGGCCACCTGCACCCATCCCAGCCTGCACGTGAGGTTCAGGCACTACAGAAGCCATAGTTTGGGTATTTTAGCCCTTTGTATTCTTCTTTAGGTGACCACACGTCATCTTTGGGTTTTGACATCACAGCGATGGATGAAATAACAAACTGACAGCAATATTTGCCTGATGATTGAAGCCTTTTTCTTCCCGCACCTCGGGATAAGAAAAGAAGGGAGAATCTTTTCAGCTGTGGTTACAACTACTGAGAATGTGGAACTGCACGAGAACCACAGCTTCCTTTTCTCAGGCTCTGTTTGCTGGCTGAGCTGGATTTCCATCAGGCAACACTTGCACTGCTCTGCTCAAAGATGATCCCTCTCCTCCTCCCGTATTTGCCAAGATTGTCCTCCCAGTCAAACGATTTGCCAAACAGCTTTGCTCACTTTGATCAGCATTTCTCTACGCAAGGGCTGAAGGAAAGATAAAAGCAAAGTGCAGCATAGAAATAAGGGCTGGAAAGTGCTCTGGTACAGTGATGTCCCATAGGACTTTAGGGGCTGTTACTAAAAGCAGAACTCTTGTTCCAGGGGTCTGATACTGAGCCACGTTACTCCGAGGCACATAACTCCATCCAAAGCCTGCTCCTATCATTTTCAACTGGAGCAGCAATGAAAAGCTCTTTTTTCTTTCCCCCCCCTTGCCTTTTAGTATTAAAGGCTGTGTGATCACAAGCTGCCTTCACAGCTGTTCTCCTTCCCACGTTCTGCGTATTGGAGGAACAAAGACAGACTCAGTCTACCAGAAGGCAGCGATCATCAGCTCTGAGAAAGCAAAACTCTTTTGAAGTTTCAGTAGTGAGAAGATGGCACACACCAGCAGGGTCTGCTCAGTGCTTCAGGGCATTCAGATACAACACAAACAGCCCTAGAAAGCTTTAACTGCACTGTTAAAGATCAGCCAGTGTCACAGTGGTGTCGTTTCAAATCAGGTTTTTGGGTTTTGAGATTCTCCCAGAAGACACAAACCAGCTGCAAGTTATTAATGTCTGCCCATTAGTGCTTAATAGTTTATTATCTCATTAGGAGCAACTCTTCCACCCTAATTTAACGTTAACTGTGACAAAAGAGATTATTTCTCCAATCAGCTGAAGCAATGTTGAGTCCATCTCCCGTCACCAGGGCAGCACCAAGTGATCTGGCAGCAAACCCTGGTGGGGTTACCTCACACTGGATGATATTTTCGACACCTTGCAGCACCTGGGATATCTGCAAAGAGCAAGGCAATGACACAAGGGAACATCCACCAACTCCACACCATTGGGGCAGAGGGGAATCGTCAACTGAGGGCTCCTAAAACTGCAGTGCCATGTTTAGGTGGGATTCAGGCATCCAAAGAGTGAAGATGGGAAAGCAGGACATAATCGTTTTAAGGTAAGATGCTGCACAAGCATACGCAATTCAAAAGATCACACATCAATGAGCACAAAGCACGTAAAGCCTGCAAGAATGTGCTTGCAAATGGTCTTGTGAAGGATATCTCAGTGGTTTGAAGGAGAGTTGCTCAAGCATTATGCTGAAACAGCTTCTGCAAGGCATGCCAGCCTTGTGACAGAGCAGACTGGTTTCTGTGACCTTCTGTATCGAGAATGGAGAGGATTCTGGATCCTCCTCAGCAAACCAGAGCAGAAGCAATTAGCATTTCTCTGGAAGGCTGCCCTGCCTTCAGTCACCAAATAATGGAGCTTCCCATTCAGCAACAACGCTCAACACACAACAGCTATTTCCATAGCAGTGATTGTGCTCATCTTGGTGGTCCAGCCTTAATGATTCTGTGATTATAACTCACAGACTCCCATGCAGCTCACTCGTATTATATTCAAAGCAAATGGGAAAGCAGACACTGGCCAGGCTTTTAAGACCTGTTCTGCTTAAGGTCTTCCATGCTCCTGGACTGCCACAGTATAGAAGGGCTGGCAGCAGTTGCACCTTACATACAGCCTTAAAAGAATGTTTAATTCACCGCCCTCTTTGGTCAAAACATTCACATTTAAAATAATACTTCCCCTCCCACAATCCTCCAAAAGTTAATTTTCTGTCTTTTGTTTTTTTTTGTAGCATCCATCACCTTTGAATCCCTAAAGAAAAAATAAAACGACTTACCATCTGACCATGAGCCCCAGTTCCATGAAATTTTTCAGGTTAGGAAGAGTTTGCCTTAGATCTGGAGTACTCAGCCCATGTTGATATCTAAGCTACAAAAAACAGGCAAAGATAAAATCAGTAAAGCTTTCCAAACCCCACATCCCGATGGATATCATCACGTGCTCCCTTAATCCAGCCAGTTTCCAAAGAAGCTGTAGGATAATCAAGCACTTCCAGGCCATCTATTACCTTGAAGGAAATATTCCATTTAAGGCTCATAACCTCACATTAGCAAAACCCACCCAAGAACAGGGACAAACCCATCAGTCAGTACAACTGTTAAACCTCATTACACTCCTTCCGTTTCCTATCTGTAACAGGAGAGCAGCCTCACAGCTCAATGCAAAGAGCCATCAGGTGGGCAGCCCAAATTTCAACACAACGTCCCACACGTTCACCAGCTCCCAACATTTATTTCTGTGCAAGTGCCATCCATCATCCTGAGCATATCAACGCATGCTGGAACCAGTAGTGGAATGTTGACACTAACGTCAACTACTACAAACACATGCTGTCCAACAGCTGAACTGAATCTGTGTTCTTTTAATGGTTTATATCAACATTTAAGTGTTTTCATAATTGAAGTCAGCGTTCAGATACAGCACCACGTAGCTCAGAAACAGGTTCTAACATCAGCTTGCTTTAGCCCGAGCATTAGTAGGTACAAACAGAAATCACGTTGGCTCCACACAAACTGCAAGTTGTTCTTACCCTCAGATTATCATACGAAGCACATACAATATGTTCAAGGAACATATAGACACATGAGGGATGTGATTTTGGGAGAACTATTGGTGATTGGGGGACGGTTGGACTGGATGATCTTGTAGGTCTTCTCCAACCTTGGTGATTCTAAACGTAACAGCCAATGCTGATCATTTCAAACTGCTCGTTTCTATGATATTCTATGATTTAAGAAGGCCCCTGTCTTTGAAACGAGCAAGTGGAAGGGGAAAAGAGTCTTACAGATTTGAATCCCAAAACTTGCCCTGCACATCCTCCCTGAGCTGGTTCCAATATACGAAATAGCCCAAAATTCCAGTACCATTAGGAAAGGGTGTTGGGAGGAAGCAGTACCAAGGTGACATGGAGCTGTCACAGAATGACTTGGATTGGAAGGGATCTCAAGGATCATGAAGCTTCAGCCCCCCTCCAATGCAGGGCCACCAACCTCCACGTTTCACAGCAGCCCAGGCTGCCCAGGGCCCCATCCAACCTGGCCTTGAACACCTCCAGGGATGGACGGGGCATCACAGCCTCTCTGGGCAGCTGTTCCAGCACCTCACCACTCTCATAGCACAGAACTTCCCCCTGACATCCAACCTCAACCTTCCCTCCTTCAACTTCAATCCACTTCCCTTGTCCTGCCATTATCTCCCCTTTCCAAGAGTTGACTCCCCTCCAGTTTGCAGGCTCCTTTCAGGTACTCAAAGCTGTCAGTGGGCATTATGTTCAAACCCTCCAGCACTTCCACCTCAGACACTCCCAGACAGTGGCTGTCCCAGTTCAATACTCACAAAGCCAAGCGATGAAACACGGAACAATCCTACAAAGTTAATTTTACTGTATTTTTCGAGCTCCACACCTGTTTCTGCAATGCCTGAAAGCAGACTGCAGGAAGGCAACATCCAATGGCAAGGATTTCTGCCTCAAACCAAGAGCTCATGGAATCCTGCTCAAACAAAGCACCAAACAGGTTTTCCACAGGAAAACAAAACTCTCGAAACTAGGAATGATTCCTATGCTCTTCTGTGTTGTAGAAAGAAAAACTGCTTTGGAAGAAACCCATCCCGAGCTCTGTGCTGTACAACAGGAGAGCATTTATTACGTGGTTTATTATTTCCATATGGACATGGCCGAGTCATATGGTGGGCTTGGGTTCATAATTTTCTGCTACACTGACAGAACCTGGATGAAGACAACCATACAATATAAATTGCTAAATGATCACCGCATTCTCCTGATGGGATTACAGTGGGTTTGGTTAACCGAAGAACCAGCCCGAGGCAAGAGGAAAAAATAAATTAATTAGAAGCATTACATTTGTTGCTCCTACCACAATTGGATTTTAATAGAACACTCGTTTTTACAGTCATCCTTAAATTCTAAGGTTTCATAGCATGAAAAGAACTGGATTAAAGGATCTTTCTAATCCCAACAGCCAAGATCACAGGAATGCATTGGAGCCGTGCTTGTTTCAAAGCACATCCAAAAAAATGTTGCTCTGGCTAAAAGCTTTGTGAGATTGCAAACAGGAGAGATGCACAGCAAGGAAAGGCAGGATGCGAGTTCTGGGAAGCCTCTAGAATAAACAGGATGGATTTTACTGTGTCAATTACATTCTGTTTGCAGGCAAACAAGAGCAGAAAAGCTGAACGTGAGCTGCCTCACTCTCCTAAAACAGAGCTCTGTTTTCAGTTGTTGAATGTCACCATCCCCACCCTTGAGACAGCAAGGAACCAAGACGAGATGGTTCCTTCAGCATGCAACAGACCCAGCCATCCAAAGCTGACTGAACAAGCGCCCACAATGTGCATTCACTTCTTCGAATGACTGCGTAGACCCTGCATATAAATCACTAATGATGCTCTAATTGCCATTTCCTGGCTTATATTTAGCTCCTACACACAGTTTCATGTTCTTCAGTGCCACGTGACTGAGCAAACACACGTAGTGGACATGGACTGGGGAAGAACTGCACTGCAGACAGCAGGCACTTCAGAGAGTGGCCTGAAGCCTCCTCTCTGACCAGTTATTATCAACACTTATCCCACAGAAGGAAGAGAAGCATCATACTTCACAAGCAGAGAGCTCAAGGAAGGAAATCAGGAAGTGAGACGTCTTAAATTATACAGAAATAACTTTTACACATCTCAAAATGAGACTTTTTGGAGCTTTCTTCCTTTGGCTTCCGGGATAAGTGACATCACTCCAGGTTGGTTACTAGAGATAAAAAGAAAGGAGTAAAACTGGTGAAAATCACAGATTGGTTTGGGTTGGAAGGCAGCTTTAAGATTATCTATTTCCAACCCCCTGCTATAGGCAGGAGGCACTTTTCTACAAGATCTTTGGAAACAAACCCAAATTCAACCCGTGGGATCCTTTCATTCAGAAGAGATCCCTACTCTCTAGAAGCTCCATGTGATAAACTGAAGTTCAGCATTGCAAAAAGCTTGAAAACTCAGATGAGGCTGGATTTATAACTGTTAATCAGTAACTGCCCAGGGGCTGCTCTGTTCAAGACTCTGAGTTTTTGCTTGTCCTAAGATAATCCCAAGGGACACCTGTAAAAAAGAACCTAAAGAAATAAGAGGTGAAGTTTAGATTGAGGTCGACTCCACCTCTGCAGAAGATCAGCCTGTCTTACCAGTGGGTACTTTCTATGCTGCTGTGCTATTTATTCCAGCATTGTGAAGAACCATACATGTTGAAACCAAGGTTCTCAGAGCAAAAGGTATCTTTGTCTTAAAATGTGTATTAAACTGCATAGATTCAGCTGCTCTCTTATACTCTCCATAACATAAGTGGCACAAGGACTGTTCCACTCCCTCAATTAAACTGGCTTAACAAGGAACCACTTAGCTACCTTTCTATTGCTGTGCAATACCAGGTTCTACACCCAAGACCAAAATTAGGGCTTTTCCCACTAAGCAGCTGCCTCTTATAGAAAACAAGGCTGTTCTGAAGTTACGTGCAAAGAAGAACAGACTGTTTCCTACACTAATTCCTGTTAGAACACTTAATGATCAGCAGTATACAAGCAGATGTATTTACTTCCAACCAGAAACCACAGAGTATCTGCTCTGGAATACTCTTTGTTGGGAGCTCCAAATGACTCCAATTTTGAGCTCATCTGTTCATCATTTAGCATACCGTTTCCCCAGCCATATTTATCTTGTTCTAAGACATGTGGGAGCAGTCTTACAGCTCAGACTATGTTAATAAAGTTCAAAACACCGGTCCCTTCAGTACTTGGTATGCACAACAGCCAGTCTGCATCGAAACCTCCAGCATTTCTGCACTTCCTTTAGTCTCAGACGGTGAGACAGCAGGTCAACCCTGGAGTGTGCTCTCCTAGCACCATCTGCATCCATGCAATGGGGGGGAACCCAAGGCCCTCCTACACTGTGCACGTGCTATTTTCAATGACTCTCAGCTAAGTGAGGAAGGGCTTCCTCTTTTGATAGCATCGAGGAGTTTAAAAGGACATCTGCTCCGCAAATGTGAAGGCACACAAGCAAAAATAGAAGCAAGACTGTTCTCTCTCAATCAAGTTCACGGCGTTGGGAGGAAGCCAAGCATCCACAGAAGGTTTTCAGAGGTTGTCAAACGCTGGGACACGAATATAAAAAGCAAGTTTTAATAAAATGACATAGTTAATTGTTTTACAAGATCCTGGATGACTTTTCAGAGTATGAAAGAGCGCTGGCTGGGATTCAGATGACTAAGCACAGCAGTAATGAAAACAGAAAGTGTTGTTATAATGCCTGTTGCTATATAAACAACCTTGGGGGATCAGTGAAATAATGCCTGCTGCTATATAAACAGGTGTGTTTGTACCTTTTGGGGGAAATCATAAAATGGCAGATTATTTGCACTCTTAATGTGTCACTTGCCTTTGGTTCATTAAGCCTAGCTGGTTGTTCCATCTCTGAACTGCTATGCATGTTTACTGCAAAGCTAGTCTAGAGCTGCAACATTAGCGAAACACATCGTGGTATATCAGTGATATCACAGAAGTAAACACTTAAATGTAAAAAATCCAGATGAGTTTCAAAAGACTGTCAGGCAATATCTATCACAGCTTAGAAGTGAATCCAACCAAGGCTTCCCTGCCACCAAATTTCTTGGGAAGCTCTGTAATGACAGCAAATCTCCAAGATCTCCTCACCTCTGAATCATAGGATGGCTTGGATTGGAAGGGATCTCAAGGATTACGAAGCTTCAGCACCTACAAATGCAGGGCCACCAACCTCCCCATTTCACAGCAGCCCAGGCTGCCCAGGGCCCCATCCAACCTGGCCTTGAACACCTCCAGGGATGGACGGGGCATCACAGCCTCTCTGGGCAGCTGTTCCAGCACCTCACCACTCTCACAGCACAGAACTTCCCCCGACATCCAACCTCAATCTTCCCTCCTTCAACTTCAAGCCATTTCCCCTTGTCCTGCTGTTATCTCCCCTTTCCAATGGGACTCCCCTCTGCTTTGAGAAGGAAAAAAGAAGGTTGTCATTGGAAGTGACCTCCTAGAAGTGCTCAGATACAGACCTATTTTCATGGAAGTGACTTTATATTGATGTGCCAACACCTGCCTTCTCCCCCAAATGGGTTTCATTCTTCTAAGAATACTAAACTCACAAGAGAAATAAGTTACATCAACAACCTTGAGAATCCATGCACCTTCATTAACCCACAGAGCACAAGCTTTTAAATTCAAACTGTCCTTAAGAAAAATAAAAGGCCTCCAGGAATATCACCTTGAACTCCCACAGTTGCTGATGTAGCACTAACAAACAAGGCATACAAACAGCAATCAAAGCAGTAAGAGGACAGCAGCTGTGCTTTATGCTGGCCCTTCAAAGGCTGCTTACAATCACACTTGGTTTTATAGCATGCTTACTCTGAAACAGGCTGATCTCATCCCAGCCACGAGGCAGAGGCTGCTGTCAAGAAGATACTTGCTTCTTCTCTTACTTTTATCTGTAACAGTGGCATGTAATCATTAAGATCACAGAATCACTACGGTTGGAAAAGAATCCTAAGATCCCCAAGTCCACCTCCAACCCATCCCACCCTCAGCGCCTCATTCCCTGCTTTCTCTGATTTACCTTAGAATCACATTAACCTGCTGCTTCTTCCCTCCCCATCCACAAACAAGTTCTGACCGCAGCCTGAGCGCAGAAGCGAAACACGGATGCTGAGCAAGCTGTTAGGTGGAATTCTTCTAATTTTTAAAGCTGAGGGCTGATAATAGGCAATATTTAACACTGGATTCTGGTTTCACAGCGATAGTGTTTATTGGAGACAGACCACAAGAAAATAAGGAAATAGGAGTACGTGTTTGAGTGCATGCAGAACGCACTGTAGAACTAAAACATCTCGATGAGCCAAAAGCTGTGTTTCCTCCTGCATTCCCTTGCTCATATTAGCAAAGCCCTTCCTGACAGTAAACACAATATCCCTCCAGAGAGGTCTTGAGCATTAAGCCTTCATGGTACAAGTCTGGTGTCCCAGTAAGGATATGGGAAACCACAGTCAAAGGGGGAAACAGCCGCTTACATAAGTGAACCATGCCCATAAAATGTGGTGGCCGCTATAAATTTGGTGGGCTTGTTATAAAAACAACAGACGTGAGCCCCCTTGCCCATAAAGGTGCCTCTCATACACCGTGACCATTTACAGAAACAACATGAAGAAAAAAAAAAAAGGCAATTTAGAAGATAGAGCAGTTACTGGCCTCAGAAAAGCTTCCCCCCCTTCACCAGTGAAGCACTGCAATAACTAAAACCACGTTTGCTGTTCAGCTGTAGTCTCGCTGCATTACGGCCTGAAGAAATGAAACTATGCAGCATAACCTCTCCAGGTTCAGGTCAGAACTTCTTAAAACACCCCGGTATCACAAAGTGATGTTGATTGGATTAGGAGATGTGGGCAGGTATTTCCTATGACTTCATGCAGGCTGAACGCCTGCATAAAAATCATGACGTCAGGGGCAGAACGAAAGGTCAGACATGAAAAGCCAAGAGAAAGGTAAATAATGCTCTGTACCTACACCTGAAACACATTGTTTGCTTTACACCTTCAGCTCCCCAGGTGTGATATTGCACTGCAT